TACCTTAACAAGTACACATCATTCTTTTATAATGTGATTAACCTTCTGTAGAAGGCATTATAATATGATGGTCAATCCCACTATTTGTTGGTAAAAGAGTATCCCAAGAGTTGGTGGTGGGTGGTGATGACTAGCTGCCTTCCATCTAGTCTTACACTGCTAAATTAGGGATGGCTAGTGCTTATAGCCCTCATGTAGCTTTGCACAAAATTCAAAACCAACCAACCAGTCTTCTGTAGAAGTTGAAAAAGAGTTATAACTGGTGGTTCATAGATGTATATAATCTTTGTTTAAACATCTATAATACAATAGTTCTAAACATTAAATTTGTGCAATTAATAAACTGGGAAACATATAGGCATACACAAACTAAAATAGTTGTTTGTATTGTATGCTAAAACATCTTCAAGTTTCACATGTTATTATCTTGTCCTCAGTTTGACTTGCCTGAAGGTATTATATCAATATTTTACTACTTAATTAGAGAACTTTATGTAGGTTTTAACAACAAGATAAAATTGATTTTATAATGATAAGACAGTTGAGTGAAAGGTGACAGTTTTTGTTGTTTAACAGTAAAATATATAGAGGGAGTAAGCTTAAGGTCCTGTATTTCCAGAAAATATGTATATATAAGACTTTTTTTCTTTTTAATGTTATGCAATAAGTCTAGTGTGATACAACAATGTAGATAATTGGCAGATTTTTTGGTATAAAATGTACATACGTACCCAACTTATCTATGAAAAACAAGTCCCAGATAAGTTAAACCTGGTAAGAAATGTTGATGGCTACACAAAAGTGACTTGTTTTTGTTAATTGTAGTCGTATCTTAAATTTAAAAAAACATTAACGATCAATTACCCATTTTTTATAATCTTATTTAAATCTTAAGCTCACAATTTTGAACAACTTTGATTTGATGGTTTTGGGGTTATTTTATCTATTTATTGTAGGAGTTGAAATGCTGATTAAAAGTGTGGACGTAAAATGATACGTATAAGATTTTTAATTCCTTCCAGGTCAGATTAGAAACTATACACTTTTGTTATAGATATAAGAATCTTAATATTTGTCTCCTGTTTAGGTACCTTGATGATCAGGCTTCAAACTTTGATCTTTTACCTCATGAGGTCACAAACATAGCAACTGTTATCGACCCAACGTACAACAGACGAAGACTTCCGGGAAGTGAAACTCATCGTTCAAATAGTTACGGAAGCTTACCTGCAACTAGTCCATTACAATCACCAGTCAGATCTCCAACGCAGTCTGCGGGTATACTAATAGATAAATCAAATATGTTTATGTGGTAACCACATTCAAGATTAAATACCAACACATTGTAAGATTAGTGTTTGTTTAATATATCATACACTCATGAAATATATTCAAACAAACATAATATGACTTGTTGTTCACAAAAACTCGTTCAAATGAAATGCAAGGTACAAAGTAATAGGCTAAAATAAAAAAACTTACCATGTTAAGCTTGTAAAATGACTGGACAAGTAATTCATGGTGTTTTACTGTACAGCTGTGCTGTTTGTTTAATTAATGACTGGACAAATAATTAATGGTGTTTTTACTGTACAGCTGTACTGTTTGTTTAATTAATGACTGGACAAATAATTCATGGTGTTTTACTGTAATGTACTGTACAGCTGTACTGTTTACATGATTAATCAAAAGCACTAGAAAACAGGTTTAGTGTAATACAAAGTTTGTATCCTTGTGATAGGACCTGTACTGGCAAATGGGTTTAGTGTAATACAAAGTTTGTATCCTAGTACAAGGGCCTGTACTGGTAAATGGGTTTAGTGTAATACAAAGTCTGTATCCTAGTACAAGGGCCTGTACTGGTAAATGGGTTTAGTGTAATACAAAGTCTGTATCCTTGTGCTAGGGCCTGTATTGGTAAATGGGTTTAAGGTAATACAAAGTCTGTATCCTAGTACAAGGGCCTGTACTGGCAAATGGGTTTAGTGTAATACAAAGTCTGTATCCTTGTGCTAGGGCCTGTACTGGTAAATGGGTTTAGTGTAATACAAAGTCTGTATCCTAGTACAAGGGCCTGCACTTGTAAATGGGTTCAGTGTAATACAAAGTTTGTATCCTTGTGATAGGGCCTGTACTGGTAAATGGGTTCAGTGTAATACAAAGTTTGTATCCTTGTGTTAGGGCCTGTACTGGTAAATGGGTTTAGTGTAATACAAAGTCTGTATCCTAGTACATTGATAACACAGTAAACATGCATCTTGTGCTTAGTTTGTTATCTATAGTGTCTTAATTGTTTCCAACCTGGAAATTTTTTATATGATCTTATCTAGATAATTTTATAGGTTTATTACCTTGCTTGGTTATTAAGTAATTGATTTATTAATCAGTACAATTAATCCCTTAATCCATTTCAAAGAGCTGAATAGAGATCCATTGTGACAGTGCGTATAATATAATAATTTTATCTGTTTCATGAATAATGTTTCCATCATACACTAGGTTTTTGAGACTGTTTGTTGATGACTTATTCTTTTACAGAAACCCAACTTGTAAGTTCTGAGCTTTATTCATCTTGGTTGTTTACATTTCGTATGCTTTTACCAGAAACTAACATTAAACAACTTTAAAACGAACTGGTTTTCAGTCTAATTGTAACAGCATTTTAAATACTATGGACCATAGTATTCCTTTTGTTTTTTTAGGTGCTTCTCCTGTGGACAGTGGAGTAACCGATGGTTACTGTGACAGTGGGGACGACGAAGACGGCGCAGTACCACCGTACATGCCTATCCAAGGACAGCGACGTACAATGTCTTTAGAAAAGGACAAGGGTAAAAAGATTAAACAGAAAAATGGTTGTAAAACACAGTAATTCTAATTACAGAAAGAACCAATCGCATAACTCGTCACCAGCTTTGTCCGACACGTGGGACACTTGCATAGTCCTCACAATTTAGACAGGCCTGTACTGAAATGTTTCCACCACAGATAGATGCAGCATATATTTTTGTACGTGACATAAATTTTGATTAAGCTTTAGTAGTTCTCTCTCTCTCTGGAAGCTAATAGCATGAAACCAATGTTAGAATAAAAATGATAATTAATATTATTAGATCTGATGACACTTCGGTGCCACTGCACAAGTTTTATAGGTATATGCTTATGAACTCACTCAATTTTATAAGTGTGAGTTGATGAACTCACTAGTCTGAGTTTTTTTTTTTATCTCAGTGTGGGGAACACCAAATGACTAATGTACAGAGAGAACATAGAAGTGTGGTTCGTTTTTTTTTTTTTATATCGCAGCTCTTGTTAACTATTTTTAAGTTGGAGAAATGTTTTTTTCTTCACATGTCTAAAAACACTTTTTTTTTGTTTGCCTAAATATTTTGTTTGTCATTAAGTACTTGTCCCACAGTGGGTCAGTGGTAAGTCTTAAAACACTAAAATCCATGGTTTGATTCCCTGTAGTGTGTAGATAGCTTTATGCTAAAAACCAATTAATGATTATGAAATATTTACAGCTTTCACTAGCTATTCCAATAAGGTGGTGCACATGCTGATCACAGAACTCTGACAGAAATTGCATTGCTTTTTAGAAAGTACTGACATGAGGTGGCTTTACTACCAGTTTGCTTTTTCTCGGTAGCTTTATTGTGTAAGTAATCACAAGAGGGTTTATTGTATGTTGTTGTTCTTCAGAGTCTGCTATTTTTGTTTTAAAACATTCTTGACGTTGTCAACATGGTGACAGAGATGAATGTTTTAGTTGACTGTCTATAGCTTAACGTGAACCTTGTGCTTTGGTATACTACTTATCTGCATTGTATTTTTTGAATATCAGTATTTTTCTTACTTTAGTTGTTTTGGAGAGGTTTTTTTAATCCCTTGTTTTTTTTACCATCCATGTCATTATTAATTCAAAATATGCCAGATAATGATAAATTTTGAGTGATATATATATTTATTTTATGATTCAGTTTTTTGTAATACATCATTTTCAGTTGTCTCAACCAAGTATATTTTAGTATATAGAAATGAAGAGTTTATTTGATGGTATATGTACATTTAGTTTATTACTTTGTCCATAAAAAGAAAGTCTGTGACTAAGCTAGGTATTTTTTATTAATTCAGTTTTCAGCTCCAATGAATAGATATACATGTACAAAAGTTGATGTTTACTTAAAATATGTTACAGCATAATTTGGAAGATTTTTGTTTTATAGTAGAAAGCGCCGTGCAACAAGAAACTTGCTTACTTCACACGGTGAAACATTTTGTCCGACTGCAGCAGTTTCGTTATTGTAAAATATAAAAGAAACTTGCTTCAAGATCTTGTTTAAACTTTATTCTTACTTCAATCGATCTAGTGAAACTTGTGCATGGATTTGAATACCATAATATATTTTCCCTTTACCAATATTCTTGCAAATGGGTCAGATGTGAAAGTAACATGAACACTTTAAATCATAGGCACAATTAAAAGCAACAATTAATCCTATTATTCTTTTCAAAGAGCTGCACAGATATCCCTTGTGATGCTTGCCCTCTGGTCAGTAACTAAATTAGGGATACCTGAACTCTAGGAGTTTCTGACATGGCTGTTAAGCCCAATAAGTATTTATTTTATTGTGCATGATAATGGACACCTTGCTTAACAGGGTATATTACCATTCTGTACTTTATTGTTAGTCAGAGAACTGTGAATGAATTTTTTTTTTAATATAATGTAAGTCAATATTTTTCAGTTTCTATACAGTGAAGTCTAACTTACCAAAGAAGCTTGAGAGCAAACAACCATTATTAGACTAGATACTGGTTATTTTGCTTAGAATGCCTCAATATTATAAAACTTGTTTAAAAATTTTACTAATCGTGAAGCAATGAAAAACAACATAATTGGAATTTGCACACTGTAATAATCACCATTAATTTAATTTTTTTTTCAGAAGAATATACCAGTTGTATCACCATTAAAACCAAATACTGCTAGTTCTTGTAAAAATAATGTCTTTAGAAAAGACTTGAGATATTTATGAAGCAGTATTGTGAACAGAATTATACGTAGATAAATCAGTATTTGGAGAAAGTACATTCTTGGTTGATGATTGTAACATTTTTCGTATAAAAGTAGCTAAAATAATTCCATATACAATCTGTCAAAACTCTCCGCGCTAATTATTTATTACACTTGTTTCTATATGTTTTGAATAGTAAGCAATGCATGTGTTTCAAATATAGTTACAATATTTTTATAATATCTGGTTTGAAATCATTAATGAGAAGGACCAAAAACTTTTAAATAGATGTATTTCATTTATAGGTGTTTATTTGGTTTCCCTTTTTCTTGAGCAAGAAACCTTATTTTCTTCGTGAATCTTCTGATGGAAAAGGAGAGTCGAATTATAAAACATGACACAACAAAAGACTTAAATCGCAATAGTATATTAGTTTATCTTTTCATCTAATTCTACAACATGATAATGCTTAAATACAACGGCATGAATGAAGTATCTTCGATGTTGAAAGTTAAAACTCTTGACAACGTTAGCAGTGCTCTGAAAAAATTTTTTTTTTCTATTATATATATATAGCACGACTTTATTAATGGGGGATAGTTATTGTACTAATATTGTGTTTGATGTATATTTCTTAAATTACCATAAGATATTATGGCTTTAATCCTCAAGAAAAAAACTTAACACAGTTTGACACCAAACCTGTTTGTTTTTGATATTATTATTTATGATAAATATAGCTTACCAAACTGAGTAAGTGATAGTCTTTTATAAGTTTCAGTTTCAAATAAAATTAACTTTTCTACCTCAAGATTATATTAATTATTAAAACAGAAGTTCTAAAGTTAGTCTTGATTTTGTGAAATTAGCTTTTCCATTACTGGCTGAACACTACAAAAATATAGTATGTATGTTGAAGGGAGTGATGTACTCTGCCCAGGGCAAGGAAAGAAAATGATCCCTTAAACTAAAGTACCCATAAATTTACAATCGGTTTTTTCTCTTTCTGCTTTAAGTATTAAAAACTTGCTCAGTTATAATTCTTATGTCATGGGAAATAACCTAATACAGAATATCTTAAGTTTTTTGATCAATAACTAATACCACTTGTAGCATTTACGTTTTTGTCCTATGCCAAGAGCAGCTCTTGCATTCCAATTTTCCATCATTTTTGTATATTGCAATTTATACCATGCTGTACATTTTCTATAATAAAATATTTTATCAATAAGCTTTTATTTTCTGTTACTTTTGAGAAAACCATGAAATATGTGACCATTTAACAAGGCCTAGCCATTAGCTTGGTAACTTCAAGACAAGATCCACATGGATCAGTTTAAAAATAATAATGAAGCTGATTCTACAAGTGCCCATATCAGCTCTTCCAGGAGTTGTATGTAATTGATCTAGACAATTCTATAAATCTGAAAGAAAGAAAAAAATGTATCAAAATAACATGTTTGGTTTACTATAAAATCTAATTAATTTTCAGTACTTCATATATTTTGTTTTCAAACTAAACGTAATAATGCAGTTAAGGAGAAAATCAACTTTTAATTGGAAAAACATTTTGGTTTATTTACTACTTCCATTTCTCAGCTTATAACTGAGAAGGGACAAAAAAAACTAAAATCAACCAAAATTAGTAATGGTCTTGTATCAAACAAAATTTATTAATAATTATTCCTCCTACTCATTGTAAAACACCTGGAGCACTTAGAAGAAACATTTTGTTATGTTTACTTTGAGATTTAGAAAGGGGATCCTGGCCTGAAATGTGAACATCTATTTACATGTACAATTCCCCCCCCCCCCAATTTTTTTTACCTAACTGCATCACAGTGGTCTCACTTTCTATTCTGTTAAGTATGGAACCTGTTCATTGACATATTTCAATTTTGTAATCTTTTCTTACTTTTATTTTTAAGACATTTTGGGTGTTTAATGAAAAACACAATTAAAAGCAGTCTCTTGAAAGTTTAAACCCCCCTAAACTTTACAATAAAAGAATATCCAATGCTGAGCGTTGGGTTACCAATAACGAAGAGCAAAACCCTGGTGTAAAATATCGTACATCAACCAAAAAACATCCCCCTATTATTACCAGAGTGGCAGCTGCTACTAGCTTCATAACATTAAGTGAATTTTAAAATTTGTAACCTGTGTAGCATTACATCACAATAAGACTGGCCCTATAGGAGTTTCCAGTAAGAAGCATGTGTAGTAGCATTTTAACCGTACATCGGGTGCTGTGTAACACTTCTGATGAGGCCTTTTTGCTCATCAAGTCAGCTGAGCTTACAATACACGGCCTTGATGTTTCAGAAAAGATGACTGAATTATATAGCTTGGCCAAGGGCCCTTACCTTTTACCAAGAACAGAATTCAAGGACTTTTATTGGAACATCATAATTCACAAACATTCTCTCAACTCTACTAAGCTTGCTTGGTAGCCAATCAGTGGAAGAATTACTGAAAACAAAAACTTTGAACAGTGTGCACAAGTTCCATCAGAATTTATCCCAATTTGTGACATTAAACGGGTGTGCTGTAGAACATACATTAGGAATAGTTCTGTACTCAAGAATTCTATTATTAGATGCATGACAAAATTCCAGCTCTCTTCAGTAATGCTCAGATTTTCCAGAAGAATTAAGTTTTATGAATTTGAACGAAATATAAAATAGTCCAATTTTGAGTCTTGTTCTCAATGTTCCAAAAAATATTGGTTCATTAATCATGGTTGTTATTTACAAAAAGTTTTATTTCTTTTAATGCTGGTAAAAGCGAATGCTATGTCCGTTTTTTTTTTGGTCTAAATTACTGGTTATATCTAACAGGCAAACAACATAATACTTCACTTATGTACAAAAAATAAATTTATAAACTAACAGACTTGACAATCAATTGTTATCACGTATTACAAACGGTTGAAGCATATTACTCTACATGAAATGTCCTGATGAGTTGTAGTATTGAGAGAGAGGCCTTGGTGGTAACGACATACAGACAAAATGCTATTATACATTCACCATAAAGAAAGATCTGATTAAAATAATTACCAGGCTTATTGTAGTGTAATATCATACAAAATTCTGATCAACAGATCGTGCTTTGGCAGCTTAGCATTGTACACCCTAAAATTTAGAAATTATTTTCAGTTTTATTATATATAAATGCTAAGTTAATGGGTTATCAAAGTCACACCAAGTAAACTAAGAAAAAAAACAACTGAACCATTACTTCAGAAAATACAAAATAAAACAGACTCTGTCCTGTTTTAAAAGTTAACACAATATATTTGACAGTTATAACCAACAGACTAAATGTGTTTTTCTAAGACCAAAAACAGTATTCCTACAGAACATCAGAAAATGTAGTTTATATTAAAGTACTCTTTGTGTGTATATAAAAAAAAACAATTGTGATGTATAACTAACAACTTATTTTGGGGAATTTTAATCTGTTATAATCCTATCCTTAAGAAAAACTAGAAATATAATAGATAACTTATAATGCTTATGTACATAATATATATCAGTCTTCATCATCATCATAATCATCATCTTGTCTGGTGTGTTCAACAGATTGAAGAGGATCCTCCGAGGTGATGAGTTCAACAATAGCTTTAAGTAATGCTCCTTCTTTGGTACTTGGATCCCAACAAGTAACTCCGGGATGGTTGGCTTTGTGCTGAAGAAGCTTGTCCAGTTCTTCCCGCAGCTCCTATACATATCACATTTAGTTTATGAAAAATGAGCAAGTGTTTAATATTAGATTCTAACACATAATTATGTAGATATCTATAAAAGGTCTCTGTTCTAATTCGACTTTAACATATTGTGCATGACTATTATGATGGTAAATCACAAAAAACAAGTCAAAATTAAAACGTTCTCTTTTTCCTACTGTACTGATTAAAAATTTGTTTAGGGATAAAGGTACTTTACTACAGTAACTTCTGTTAACTTACTTACTGAGATAACATCATCAAATTTTTTCAGCTTTAAAACAAACAAACTCAATATGAAAAAACACTTTTTTTTATTGGGTGTTAATATAACATTTTTCAACCAATGAAAAAAAAAGGATGCAACTTTAAAAATCTATAATCTTATTTTAAAAGCAATATTTTCAACTCAATTTGTAAAATTTAGCAGAAAAATACTTAAAAATTCATCATTTTGTTTCATTTCTGTATTAGGTAAAAGTCTGAAATTTCTACACAAATATTCATTTGCAGTCATAAAAGTAGTTTTTTTTTTAACTCACACAATCTGCATTGGATCAGTTCTACTTAAGTAAATACGTCAAGTATAGAAAAACTAGCCTAGTTCACAAATACTGTGAACCTTAATACTCCCCTACAGTTTATATTTCATACCTATAAAAGTTTTAAATCTTTACAACTTCTAAGTCTCGAACTAGCTAAATCTGGTGTAAAATTCATCCTAAGGTTTTGCTTTCTGTACGTTGCCTGGCCAAGAACCTTTACTACCATTTCAACTGTGTCCTACTTTACAACATTATAGTGCCTTTGTTTTTCTGATTGGTCAGCCACAAAGAGAATATGGTTTGTGAATACAGTTTTGGTTGACAGATTTTTCTCAATCTTTGAAGAAAGTAAACACATATTTGAGGGGGCCAAGTCTCACTCGTGAAGTACTGTCTTTGTGTTCTTTCAAACTTATCCATCCATTTATTAATTAAAGCTCTTTTTTTTCTTTTTATTTAAATACAGTTCATTAATTTATTTTTATTTATTCCACTCTCGATCCACATAATATTCCACTCTGATGGGTAGCCTCTCTTTATTTTCACTTGTAGTAAAGCATTTTATTTCTATACCAAACGTCATCACTGTGTTTCGTTTCATTTAGTCCACTTGCGACAAACCACTACTGTCAACTTTCCACATACTAAATCCTTGAACCGCAAGTTATTTTGCAGATCATGTGACTACACGTAGGTTTATCCTTGAATTACTACACTAACAGAAAAAACGCAACTTTTTTTCTTTTATCAAACAAGGATATATTTAACAAGTGGGTAGAAAATAAATAACTTCTTAGAAAGGAACATAGCTTTTATCACACTTTTATTTAATTTCTACATTTTATCGTACGTTTTATACAAGAAACCTTAAGATCGTTTTCATTTAAAATTGTGGATATATTTATGCTTTCAAGTACTGCACTATTAGATCTCTTCAATATTCTTTACTGATAAACAGATGGCACCTTATGCAAGAAAAGAGATAAATGGCCAAATTGGAGACATCTCGATTGAGATACAGCCATCTTGATTTTAGCACTGGTGAGGGAGAACAACTAGTTAGTAGCAGCATGGCTACTCTAAACAACATTAACTCTCATCCTTCATTGTTAGAATACCCCCCACAGTTATATTACTAGAGAGATCATACAGTAAATACACCAAACTGTATTAATAAGAAATACCTTTACAAGATGAGCCACCCTAGGAGGACAGTGAAAAGCAATATGTTTGTCTACAAATACAGTGCTGCATGACAGATCCTTGCCAAACGTGATCCGCCCACCAAAAAACAACAATGAGAAAGGTTGAACGTTGGTTGTATCGTGTAGGAAAACCTATATGATATACAGAATTAATGTAATAAAAACTGAATTAACAATCATACAAATACAGCCTATCAATAACTGTTCATACAGGTTCTTTCCTTTGAGTATCAGTGAAGAGAAACATTGCAAACCAAAACTATTTATTCAATACTTCACAAATATATTTCAGCAATAAAAAAAGAGCAATGATTGAAAATTATTACTCATTAAAATGAAAGGTTAAAATCAACTTTTTTGATCAAAAAAATCAAATTATAATTCGTCTTTAAACTTCAGAACGAAATAAAGATTCACAAGTTTGTTTAATAATTAGCTGTCCAGTGGTTCAAATGATTTTTCTGAAGCAATACACAGGCTACTTTAACAATAAATAAAGGTCTATCAACAACAAGTGATGTTTATAATTCTGTACCTCAAGAGTTTTAATATAAAATATAATATAACAATTCTTTTAACCTTTTTAAAGGCTTTGAAGGATTAAATGCTGCAGATTTCTTTATAGTTAACACTTCTATAACTAGAGGCCACCCGTATAAATTATAAGCAGAGCTCCAGATTGGATTGAAGGAAGTTCTTTTCCTCTCAAAGAGTAGTGGATGTATTGAATAATCTTCCAATTGAAGTAGTTTCTGTGAGCAGTGTAAATGTGATTAAATGGCACCTTCAAAAACATTTAAGACACAAAGAGGGAGCTTATATGAGCCAGCGCACAGCTGGCTCCCTGCTCTGCCACCCTCCTTGACATGTGAGAAGAATGGAGGACACAAGATTAACAAGGTAAGGTCAGTTAGAAAGCCAAAAAATGTCAGCAGTTTTGGGGCATCCTGTTTTGCTGTTCAAAATACTGTTTGTGTTTTAAAATTCATACTTGAAAACCACATAAACTATTTTTTTGACAATCACCTTAATAATAATATAAAAAATTAGGGTTAATGAAAATCAGCTTCTGAGAGCAAAAAGCCTAAGTTGTAAAGTTCTTACTTTTTATGTATATTCTCTATTCAATGAAATATATATTTCTTGACAAAAGCAAATAAAAGGTAAAAATTAAAAACTTCTTAGGTTAGATGGAAAAAAAACTTAAATGAAAATAATAAAATTTATGCCTCAAGTAATACATGAAATTTTGTTTACCCTAAACTCCACACTTTCACTCGGTGATCTATTGTTATTTATCATTAAACACAGTTTAAAGAACAATAAAATCAAATGAAAGTAATTGTAATTGTTTGTTTCATCTGCAGTCATTATAGTAAAGAAAAAAAAGGTATTTTTGATTTTATTTTTCAACTACCATTGTAACTGATTTCACAACAGTTAGTGTTAGAGAAAACAGGAGATAAAGTATAAAGATTAGAGTCTGAGTCAGACTGACTAACTCAGTAAACTCATAAATAACTCTTTAGTAGAAATACCATTAAGAATTCAGATTTTTTGTTTACAACATACTTGTAATATTTAGTAAAAGCTTACCCTATCTGATGAAGATACACATAGTAAATTTAGATTTTTTGTTTACAACATACTTGTAATATTTACTAAAAGCTTACCCTATTTGATGAAGATACACGTAGTAAATTCAGAATTATGGTAAACATTAATTCTCCAATATGGGGTCGGTACATTGGATGGACCTCCGTGCATGAAAGTGTTAGAGTTAATAAAAACATTGTATTCTTTCAGAAAGTGCTGAACAATAAATACCAGATGCATTTTCAACTTTAATGGAGTATGGTTGTCTACCTCTATTATAGCTAAAACTTTTGATACATTTAAAGTAGGCTTAAGGATTTCAATGGCTTTATTTATCACCACATTGAATAGGTCAGTATGAGATCGGAGTTTATGCTTGCTTTGACTAATTTGTTTCCCACTCATCAAGAAAAATTAATTGGAAAAATATTCCGTTGATTTTAAAATCACTTTATTGCTGTGTCGATGAAAAACTTCATAAAGTTTTATCAAAACATATTACATTTTGCAGTGTTTGAGTAAAAACATTTATATCAAATTTACAGTAGAAAGTAAACATGACTCTAAATTTCCTTATATCGATACTTGAAGAACCGACACTGAGTTATATGCTCAATTTAAGATTTTATTTCCTCATTACTCAAAGTTAACTTGGTACATCTTTTGGTTACACGTGCTTATGAGATGGTAAACAGTTTTCTTAATTGAAGAAATATGTCAAGACCTTCTTGAAACATCAAAGAGAGATTGTTATTTCTGAAATTCTCTATTTTAATATTCCTTAGAACCTGCTCTAACAGTAACACTGTATCCAAGACAACAGCTTCTGTATGTGAAGCTAGTTACCCTTGCAGGCAGAGTTTATCTACAAATTCAAATCAGATGTATGTTTAAACCAGTTTTTAGAACAAGATGTTCTTCATATTGATAATTACAAAAAAGAAGACAGTACTTCCCATAATTTATAAACTTAATTAACATAAAAAGAAATGTGGTTGGCTACATTTATAAAAGAACACGTTACAATAAAACCAGTTAGTGTTTCTCGGGACCTCCCAGCAGAATGTATCACCAAATAAAGTGTACAATTTTATTACAATTCATGGGGTTGAGGATAAGCAGCAAGTAAGTATTTGTGAAAGCCTATTGATTGCAAACTGAACTACCAAAATTCTAATTTTTTACTTCTCCTTAAACTGTAAGCTCAATCTTTTTTTTATTTAGTTGAAGAGTGATGATTATTTACTTCGAATAACCAACATAAAGTGTTGCAGTGAATTTCATTAAAATAATTGTAACTGAATAATTAAATATTACCTTCTGATCAAAGTAAACTACCTAA